ACGTACACAGTCATTATAGTGCTTCACACTTTCCAGTGTGTTTTCGTCTGGCTCTTCTGCAACAGAACACACAAACACTTTGTGTTTACCTGGCATCTAATACACACTGTAATCCAGTGAGTGCTGTAGCATCCCGCCCACTCAAACAGGCCACAGAAGGACATGGTTATTCCTGCTTTGATACTACATTAGCTGCATTTTGTCCTGTAACCGTTTCGGAAGCTTTGACAAGCTAGCCACAGAATTCCACTTGGATCTGGTGACAGCGTTTGAGGCGCTGCTTTTGTGGATTTTGGATTAAGTGCAGTCTCCAGTTCGTTGCAGCAGCGTAATGGCAGCACCAGGCCAAAGCCACCAGAAAAATAGAGCAAATATTGGCATCTTCTGAAATGGGTCACCGTTTATGAAAATAATATTTTTTTAAACCGAGGTTTGCTGGGATTTGGTGGGCTCTAAACTATGTCAGTGCTAGCATGGCATTCTTTGTATGTGGAACAGTTAGACTGACAGTACAACTGATGGTTTTTTTGTGGCCCACATTGAACAGTATACGAGTTCTGTTGTGCTGAGTATATAAGGGGCAATGCCGAGCCCTATAAATTGTTAGCGAGGTTTGATCTATCTAGCTTGGAGACACAGCTGTCAATCAAAATGCAATTTACCTTCCCATTCTCTTGAAGCCAAACAAAGCCCAGACTTTTCGAGGATTTCAATGTAAACAAGTCTGCCATTTGTTTGTCTTCATTTCTCCCTCAAGCTTCCTGGAGAGCTATAAATCACATGATGGAATATAGCGCCTTGTTTAATGTCTGACTTGTCAGGCTTTGCAATAGAAGGAGCCAAGGCAGGAAGCACCGGAGAAAGGCAGGAGTCATAACAGAGGAAAACAGCTAGCGTTCTGACATGGTCTCTGACAGATGTCTTCTCTTTCTTTCTCACCATTTCCTGAAAAGCTGAGGTGATCAGCTTCTGTCTGTTGGTTAGGGGATGCTGTGAGATGGTTTGATATGAGAAGGAATTATATCACTGGGGTGCGCTGATCATGATTTTTTTATGGCCAAAGTGCATGAAAAAAATCACCCTTCATGAGCTGAAAGAAAACACTGACTCTGTGTCTGAACATATAGTACTGTGCAAAAGTCAGAGAACACCTTTCATTTATTTAATTTCCAGTCAAGATGACCATTAAGTGCAAGTTATTCATTTTTCTTACTCAAGTAATTGACGTGTTACAGCTTAATTGTATGCGGATATAGAAAACACATTCCATTTACATTTGTGTTCGATGTGGTCAAGATGCGTCTCTGACCATCTGTGTGATTTAAGTGATCCAGTCATAGTCTGAAGATGTGTTTGCACCTTGCTTTTCATGCAGTCAAGTAAAATATGAATGTGAGCTGATCACCAAAACTCATGCTGATGCAAGAAGTAAACAGTCTCACAGGTTGGTGAATAGGCCGGACACATGCCAGTTGCGTGTTCTGGGACTCGTCCCTGCAAAAAAAGCATAGCAATCAAAAACAGTTGCAGGTCAAAACAGCAATTACTGTCAGCATTTTAATTCAGTTTTCAGTCATACACCCCTTTTCTAAGGACCCAGTTAAGAACTCTTTGATCATTGGATCTAATCAGTAGAAACCTAATGCCTTCATGCCCCTAGCTTATCTTAAACCATGTAGATGCCACTAACTCCACTTTGTTGCATAACTAAGTCAAGCGCTAGGCATTCTTCACTGAGTGTGTTGGGACACTGAACAGTGCTTCTTGGCCAGTAGTTCAAAAAGCACCAGCCCTAGGCTTCATACACAAGAGAGATGAGTGCAGCCTTGAAGATTTGGCTTTGACCACGTTTCGAGGAATAAGAACAAACACATTTAAAAAAAAAAAAACATTTTGCATCACAATTCCAAGAGAGACACAGGCGCTGCATAGAAGTTAATAATGGAAATGCCTTCCATTATTGAAGGTGCAGTGTTAAGAATTTAAAACATGTCGCAAATCTAATGAATATTGGTTTGATCTATTTTCATAAAGTTGTCAAATTCATGTCAGGGGAGCCCTAAAGCTTTGATGAGGAGTCAACTCTCCAGCTAATTAATTCAGAACGTGGCGGTTTTTATGGAGGGATAATACTTCAAATACGACAGCTATGTAATGAGTTCAAGTAGGACATTTGCTTAGGAAGTGAAAGAAGTCATAGTCATCCGGGATGGGGGAGCAAGCCATTTGAATCTTAAATTACTATATTTTGCGTGATATCAGGCAGCACTGCTGCTTGGGGAGAGTGGTATTTTTAATGTTTTTTTGAAGGACTGCCCTATGCCTGGTCCACATAGCAGGATCATCAAAGCTGAGATGCCCGTATCCACTTGTGCAAAAGGAGTCAGAGTTACTTTAAGCCTTTCCGCTGCTGCTTCAGCCAAAAAGAAACTGCCTAGTATTCATATTCTGTTCGCCAAATGCACCACTTCGTTCGGACAGATTTGACCTTCGTGCTAACCTCTGGTGAACTCCTCAGCCTGCTCCCCCTCTCTGCTGTCACCCAGGCTCCAGATGCCAGCCTCAGGGGATTTAACCCTGGGGATGGGGACAGGGAGCATTCCTGCAGCGTCCACAGGTGGCCCAGTAATCCTCTTACCTGACCTATTGAAGAGACACTCTGCTTTCCAGCCATGACTCTCCTACCGAAGGCGCTATGATGTGGTACTGAAATGATACGCACCAATGATATGAATATATAAAAGCCATTCATGTAGCATACCTTTGCATTCCTTAAATGTTGGTATTTGAATGCAGAAGAGGCATAGTGGTTGAAGTCCAAACTGAAATGGAATTGTTGATTCAAAACAATGCTATTAATTTTGTGCTACAAGGGACTATTTTCTCTGTTGTTTGAATGTCTCAACCAAGTGCCAAGCCGTTCTTCAGGTAATTCAATATTTAAAAAGCACTCAGAACTACAGGAACAAGAACTAAATATTACTACTTAAAAAAAAGTGAAGAAACCCTGTAATAAAAGTAATCAAAAACAGCTGCAGGTCAAAACAGCAAGTACTGTCAGCATTTGAATTCAGTTTTGTTGTGCACATGTTTTTGTTTTTGTAAGCCAATGAATGTGTCTTCAGCAGCAGAATGTGACTAAATAAATGAGCAAAGTAAACAGAAGTGAGAAAGAGTATTTGAGGAAAAACAGTATTGAAAAAAAGTGTTGTCATGCAACCATACCTTGAAATCCTCCAAATGGTGCTTAAGTACATGTAACTGACTAAACGTATCTTACTGAATACAACATGATTTGCAGTGACATACTAAACAATGGTTGTCTTGGCTTAGACAGCTTCAGTTAAACCAGTTCGTGATCTGGCAGTGTTTGGTGTGCCTTACAAGACATGCTGTGGACATAGCATTTGTAAATGTCCTGCCAAGACCAGTCGTGTAGAAATGGATCCTCAGGGGAGCGTGGGCTTCACTCTTCCAAGCTTTTATTACAGATACACAATTATGAGCGTCTGGCATGTTTCACTGAGCAGAGTTCCCTGGGAATCCTTCTCAAACAAGCTTCTAACGCAAGATTTATTTTTCCAATGCTGATCGCTGATAAATGAGGAATCACAGGGTTAAGTATTGATAATTGGCCACAGAAGATTGGGGCCATATAAAAGAAAACATTTGAGTAAGAAGAGATGCTCTAATGGCCCCTTAGTGTCTGGGTTCTAGGCTGGCACTGGCCCTAATTGGATTTTCCACATGCTGCTAATCTTGCCTTGGCATGCTCTGATTGACAGTGAGCAGATGGGCATCCCCTGTCCATGGCTGATGGTCTCTTCCACCTCCTGTTCGTGCACACTCGCATGCATACACACTAGGATGCACGCTCCCTGTCCCATGGCTCACCCAGTCCTTTGGTGCCCCCCCAACAATTCCAAACCACTCTGTCAAAAATGGCACCACAGCCCCCAAGAGAACCCTTTCATCTCATATGCACACATATTCCCACCGGTATTTTCCCTCGGCACCCCCGGTTACACAGCCCATTATTGGTCAGTCTGGCTTCTTTACCAATTACGCAAGCGTCGCCACCAGTTGCCCACTACTGGTCCCGCTCACACGTCCTGTTTTCCGCCCATCCCAGCACTTTCCCTGATCCACGGCACTTAGCAGACAGCGTTCTGGTTTGTGGAGGAAAGGAACTGATTAGCACACGCTGCGATGTGGAAGCCAAATCACATGGACCTAAGATTAATGTATCCCACCACTCTTGCCCTCAACTTATTTTCCATCATAAGTATTCATTAGCCTCCCCCTTGTACACCACCACCCCTTCACTACTCTATCTCCCAGATCCCACCATGTGCTGGGAGCAGAGGGGTGGGACTAGTGCTACGATGGTAATGATTATTTTATGGAAAGCGCAGAGACAACAGTAGGGAACCCCAAAAGTTGCCAAGAGTTCTCCCAGGACAGACAAGAGCTGGGTGTTTTGGACTTTTTCGTTTGAAGTTCTTTCGTCCTCTGGGTAAGAAGAGCTTACGCTTGAAAGGCACTGAGACTGAGGAAAGCAGAGCTGGTGTATTTTTTTTTCATTATTTCAAGACATTTTACAAACTTGCTCTTCAATTATTAAACACACTTTGCTCGAATCTTGTTTTTAGGCTCTTGAACGCTGCTGCATGTTGAGCCTCACTTGTATCTCTTCCCTTTGGAGATGGTGTCATGTTTGTACATGCTAATTTCCAGCATGGAGGCTGTTTTAAAAAATGTGCAACTAATCTTGAGCCTCTTTACAGATAATCCAGTTTCTCCATCAGGGGTTTTGTTGTTGTTTTCATGTTAAGAACAACATCATTTGTAATCAAACACAATTTCAGTGCTAATACTGACAGCTTTGAAATTAATGCAGAGCAGAGAATGTGTTCAGGAAGGGAAGTATTTCATGGCATTGCTTTTGTTCTTTTAGATTTGGGGAAGATTGATCAGAATCTTTCTCCTCTTTTTCACAGGAATCATCCACCAGATGAAAGGAGATTACGAAACAGCTTTGAAACTGCACAAAACTCATCTCTCCATTGCCCAGGAGCTGAATGACTACGCTGCCCAGGGCAGAGCCTACGGCAACATGGGCAATGCTTACAATGCTCTTGGTGCCTTTGACCAGGCTGTGCGGTACCACAGACAAGAGCTGCAGATCTCCATGGAGGTCAATGATCGTGCCTCACAGGCCTCCACTCATGGTAATCTGGCCGTGGCCTACCAGGCCCTGGGAGCACATGACCGAGCCCTGCAGCACTATCAGAACCACTTGAACATTGCCCGTGAGCTCCGCGACATCCAGAGCGAGGCCCGAGCCCTGGGAAACCTGGGGAACTTCCACTGCTCACGGGGAGAGTTCCCTCAAGCTGTGCCCTATTACGAGCAGTACCTGCGGCTCTCGCCCGACTTGCAGGACATGGAGAGTGAGGGCAAGATCTGTCACAACCTAGGCTATGCACATTATTGCCTGGGCAGTTTCCAGGAAGCAGTCAAGTACTATGAGCAGGACCTGGCTCTGGCCAAGGATCTACATGATAAGTTGAGTCAAGCCAAAGCCTACTGCAACCTAGGCCTGGCCTTCAAAGCCTTGGGTGACTACAACAAGGCTGAAGAGTGCCAGAAGTACCTTTTATCTTTGGCCCAATCTCTTAACAACTCACAGGCCAGGTTCCGCGCTCTGGGAAATTTAGGTGACATCTTTCTCTGCAAGAAGGACGTGCCTGGTGCTGTGAAGTTTTATGAGCAACAACTGGCGCTAGCACATCAAGTCAAGGAACGTAAGATGGAGGCCAATGCCTATGCTGCTTTAGGTGCTGCATACCGGATGCTGCAGAAATACGACAAGGCCCTTGGATACCACACACAAGAGTTGGAAGTTTACCAGGAGCTGGGGGACATCCAAGGCGAGTGCCAGGCCCACGGGCATCTTGCGGCTGTCTATATGTCACTAGGCAAGTACAGCATGGCCTTTAAGTGCTACGAGGAGCAGCTGGAGCTGGGCCAACGGCTAAAAGACCCCAGTGTGGAGGCCCAGGTCTATGGGAACATGGGCATTACAAAGATGAACATGGGCGTGATGGAGGATGCGATTGGCTACTTTGAGCAGCAGTTGGCCATGCTGCAGCAGCTCAGCGGCAATGAGGCGGTGCTGGATCGCGGCCGTGCCTACGGCAACTTGGGAGACTGCTATGACTCACTAGGTGACTACGAGGAGGCCATCAAGTACTACGACCAGTACCTGTCGGTGGCGCAGAGTCTTAATCACATGCAGGACCAGGAGAAAGCCTACAGGGGACTGGGAAATGGACACAGGTAAAATGGGCTGTTTGTTACATGTGTCAATGAGCCATGTGCCCTAATATAAGATCTGCCTTAGCACATAGCCACCATTTAGTTGAAATTATGTGGTTGAATTGCATAGTGTCCCTTAGAGGGCAATCAAACCAGTCAATATGTAAGACTCTTTGCCTTGTATTGCTGTGGTAAAATTCAATCAAAGAATATTAGATTGATTTCAGTACTAATCTTATGGATTATGTTTCTAATACCAAGATTGATTTAGCATATTTTAGCATATTTATGGCATGGAGACATGACAATGAAACAAGCTTTGAGTTATAACTTCTTATTTGAACTGAGGTAAATACAGATTAGTTCAAAATAGTAAAGCACATACTGCTTAGTAAAACAAACAGACTGTACAAAGTGTGTACAAAGTCTTGCTACTTAAATCATATCTGTGAATTTATTACAACGTGAGGGCGGTAGCTGTTAGAGGAACCTTGATTGACGAAGCCGTCAATCCACGCACAGTCATGCATATCCTGTGCGCCATTATAGAAGCCTCAGTGTCGCGCACCACCCATCGGCTTTAATTAACATCCAGTCAGCTGCTTAAATGCTCTGACAACGTCCCAGAGCCCTCTGTCCATTCTGCTTACCTCCTCCACTCTTCTGTATAAGTGTATTGGCATCAGGATTTGATGAATGGGCTAGTGCAATGACTGTCAGAGATGCTACCAGTTGGGGGGCTGGGGAGGTTGGAGGAGCTCCCACTGAGCCTACAGTATACCAATCCTATCCATGCTATCATCCATCAGACATCCTCTAAACCCCCCATCATCCTGCTGCAGTCCAACAGGAAGGTAAATTACGCTGTCAGCAGGGACAATAAGCCTGGTTTCCCCCCCAGTGGTGAAAAAGCTTGCTCCCCCTGATGCTGGAGAAGCAACCAACAAGAGGCTCATTAAGGCCTCGCATTAGAGGTTGTTTGTTTCATTTACATTAGACAGAACTAATAGCGGCGTAATTTTAAATGACTGCACCACAAGGCGTGATGATACATGGCTTCTTAAGTAGCAAATGCTTTCTGGCAGCCACCTTGTGTGAATGCAGTCAGGTCTTCTAATTCCTCGCCAAGACAGTTTTCCACTTAGACGTGCTATGATACCGTTCTCCCGCAGGACTTGAGATTATGTGGCGATGGGCTGCATTTCTCATTCCAAATTAGGCTACAAATAGCATATCACATGTTCTTCTACCTTTTTTCAAATGGCTCACGTTGGATATGGATAGTCTGAGATCCCCTGAGATTCCGTCTCTTAGTTTTTCAAAACTGGAGCAATATTGCTGCTACATTTTAAGAACTGTTCTTTGGTTTTCCCCTGGTTTATTAAAAAGGTTTAAATACTATTTTGACATTCTTTTATTCTCTCACCCCACTTCATAGTGATACTCCGTTAGACTTGTAGAGATTTGTTGCGCAGACATTTAAAAACATAATATTGCATTGAACAGAATTCAAGCAGACCACATTTTTCCACCAGGTTTTCATTGCTAGAGTCAAACTAAATTTTCCAGTCCCTGACCAAAGTGTTGGTCTATACTTATTAACCTTGAGAGGGCTAGCCTGCTGATTTAGGACTCTGCACATACCTATAATCATATTTGTTAGGGAAGGGAAAGCAAAAAGCTGTCTTACAGTGATACATGTCGCCAGTTATACATGTGAATGTTGTGTTCTCCCTCTATCTTTAGGGCCATGGGCAACCTGCAGCAGTCTCTGGTGTGCTTTGAGAAGCGCCTGGTGGTGGCCCATGAACTGGGTGAGTGCGGCGGGAAGGCACAGGCCTATGGAGAGCTGGGCAGCCTGCACAGCCAGCTCGGCAACTACGAACAGGCCATCTCCTGCCTAGAGCGCCAGCTGGCCATCGCCCGCGACACCGCTGACCGGCTGCTGGAGGGCCAGGCTAGCTGCGGCTTGGGTGCTGTCTACCAGCTCATGGGTGAATATGACACAGCATTGCAGTTCCACCAGCGTGACCTGCAGATCGCAGAGGAGACAGGCAGCGCCAGCTGCCAGGGACGGGCTTACGGCAACTTGGGTCTCACCTACGAGTCGCTGGGTAACTTTGAACGTGCAGTGGTGTATCAGGAGCAGCACCTGAGCATCGCCGCACAAACCAACGACCTGGCGGCCAAGACGCAGGCCTACAGCAGCCTGGGCCGTACCCACCACGCCCTGCAGAACTACTCTCAGGCTGTCATGTACCTGCAGGAAGGTGAGAGAGAGGCTCACAGTTGGTGATGAATTGTATATTGACACTGCTTGTTTGACAAAATTCCTAAGTATTAAATTTTGCATGGTCATGCACAGATGTTCTTTAAAGGGGCTGCAGTCGCTGAGCAGTTTTTGCATGATTTGCTAGGATAATTATTTGGCTGAACCATTTCAGTTGTTTATTACTTCTGAAGATGTTTGAAAAGAGAAATTATGTGCTTGCATTTGACTAGTAAACACATTAAAATTAATAATCATGATTATATTTACCTAAATTGCATAAAAATTGAATATTAGTGGTGATCCATAATAATGGGTTATCAGTGTGGCAGTGGCTTATTCATTTGTTCTTCCATTATTTAAAGGGGAATACCACCAGTTTTCATAATATCTGTCTATATAAATTGTTAATATGTAAACAAAGAAATTTAGAATTGTTTAATGCTCAGTGCTCTGTTCCAGAGAAACCTACCAAGTTAGAATTATTCACAGTGGTGCTGGAGAAACCGGACATCTAAAGCATTAAATGCTACTAAAAGCTCCCTCACATAAAGTTTTGAAGACACTGCCTGGTGTCTAAGACATTGTTTTGTGCTATATTATTATCAACATTACATATAAAAAGTCAGAGTAAGCATAGCTTCTTTTGTGGTTTTGGACAGTAAATAAAATATTTGTGTTGTAAAAATTGTGACCTTTGGTTCCCATCACCGCTGTAAGGAAATCCCAGTCAGTAAGTTTCTCTACAGTGAAGCATTTCACATTAAACCACTCTGGCACTCTGACAGCTCGTCTGTGACTTTGTTTACGTGTCAACGATTTATGCAGAATTATACAGAAATGTTGAAAAATCGGTGGAATTCCCCTGTAACCTTGTGTGTGTTACTAGGGAGCAGGCCTGGTTATTAGGAAGACCAGCAGATTTCCTGATGGCCTGGCCTGTCATTTAGCCTTGGCAGTCACGCCAAATGCATGAACTGAACTGGTGCTCTGCCTCTGGCTCGTAGTCTATCAAACAATTGGTTGAAGTTACTTTTTAAAGCATGCACATAATAAATGGCATCAGATCAAAGATGGACAGTAGTACTAGTCAGCAAGTTGGCTTGTTCTGTAAGTCAACTAGCGTACAGCATCTTTGCAAAATGAGTAAAAGGAAAGAAGAGTGGAAAATAGAACGCATGCTCAAAATCAGCAAGGGAGCAACAGGTCAGTCAGAAAAAAAGCCACCTGTGCTCACATGAGCATTTTAACGTACATCTAGCCAACGACTGCTGCTCCCTCATTCAGAAGGCATCAAATTAATCCACCACAGATTGAGATCATCTCCGTTGCTGACTCTGTCTAGCTAACAGATTTGGCAGCACTTTCGCATTTGCTTACAAAAATAGCCCTGCTTCTGCTTCCTAGCGTAGCCATTTCTTTACAGTTGATTTTGCCATGGGTAACTCTTCTCTGCATATACTTACATTTGTGGCTTATGCTTAGTGTTTTAAAAGTCACTGAGCTTTAACTTTTGTTTCCAAAAAAATCAGAATACCATATGGAATTGAGTGTTGTTTACATGTCAGAGGTTTTCCATTCAACTTGACATTACACAGACTCGTATTTTTCAGTGTATTGTATCTTTTCACTATATAGTCATGTATGCGGTGCTGCTTAAATTTGCACATACAGAATCTAATTTTTCCAGATGCCTTTGCTGTTCTTTTTTATGTGTATATATCTGTCTTTATCTATATGTCTATAGTTATTTACTATGGATGTGAATTTTTAATCTGTTCTGTTTATGTTACACATTTGAAAACTAATGTATATGTAGCCATTATAGTTACATCGTAGTAGATGTCTCACTCATTCTGCCCTAGAATCGCCACAAGTTCACCAAGAACCGCATTCATCTAGCTCCCAAGGGAATCTGCGCTTTATGTAAAATTAGGGGGCATCAAGAGAGGAGAAAATGAATAAGCTAGCTATGTAGATCATGATAACAGCAGACTAATACATACATATATAATCTAAACCGCTTATCCTTCTGGGTCACGGTGGGGTGCTGGAGCCTATCCCAGCTGTCATTGGGCGGAAGGCAGGATACACCCTGGACAGGTCACCAGTCCATCGCAGGGCAGACAGACATACACAGTCACACACTCACACCTAGGGGCAATTTAGCATGTCCAATCAGCCTGACTGCATGTTTTTGGACTGTGGGAGGAAACCGGAGTACCCGGAGGAAACCCACGCAGACACGGGCAGAACAGGCAAACTCCACACAGAAATGACCCTGGTCACCCGGCTGGGAATCGAACCCAGACCATTCTTGCTGTGAGGCGACAGCGCTACCCACTGTGCCACCGTGCCGCCCCAGCCGACTAATAAAAAAGAATAAACTGTGGCACAAGCAGCCTTTAAGCTGTTGTTATTAGCTGACAAGTTAAACCACTCGCTTGCCAAAATGTTCTCTTCAAGACGCTTGTTTGTTTGTTTATTGTAGCTTGGCTACTGAAAAAAAAACGAACACTTCCAACTTTACGTAAAGTCATCTCTTTTTCACCTACCCAATAAAACAACTTACTGTTTTATTTTCTTGTCCGTTATTTTAACTGTATCGTTAGACATGATCACATGATGTGTTATCGTTGTATTGATTGGCTGTTCCACAAAGTTGAGGCGCTTGCAACTGTTGCGGCTAAGTTTAAAAGAATTACAGGACAGTTTGAATTATGCAACTGAAGAGTAATTTATCTTTATGTAAGCTTCTGGCAACTAAAGCCCAGTGTCGCCTAAACATTCTTCTCTTAAGGGCAATAAATATGTCATCTATCCCATGCTCAAAACTTTTTTGAGCAATTTCCTGCCAATACTGATGCTTGCAATAGCGTGCATTCCTATTTGTGTCTGCACTTTTCACAGCACGTGGACTAGTTCTTGTATTATCACTGAGATTGTCATCAACCAGAAAGGTTATACCTTTATATAGACACATATAATGATCGATCTGTTTTTTTCTGCTCAGGATTATTCTGCTTCAGATGGGGACGGAATCTCATTGTGATAAGTGCAACTTAAAAAAAGAGCTTATTTAAGGAGGCATGTGTCAAGTTATGTTTCAACTTTAATGTGTTGACCCTCTGCTATTCAGAGACAGTTACTCTTGGCTTCTCTAAATGCATTGAGCAGATTACTCACACCAGCTTCCTGTGCTAAGAAAGACACATTGTGTGTTTCATTCTTTCACTGCTTTGGCCTGGAACTCTGCAATTTCATGTTTTTCAGGCCATGCTGCTTTCTCTTTGAATATGAAATTAATATGGCTAGCGTGTGCCTGCTTGGTGCACACAGTGGAAAACGTTGGCCTCACTTCTATGAAGAATTGCTTCTATACTTTTTTATAGCAATAGTCCAGTCAAAACAGTAAATGAAAATGACCAGCCACCTAGTAGCATTATGCAAATGGCATGTTAATTGATGGACATTCACTTTTAACCAAATCAGCAAGCTAATCAAGCTATTTTTAGTGCAGCCCAGACCGGCCATATAAGACCAGCTGTCTCACTGCAGTGACAAAATTCTACCTTTCAGTTCTTTAAATGAAAGAGATGCAGTTATTTTCCTTTGAAACCAGAGATTTTGGTCTTACTAGCAAGCTCACTTTGTCAGTGTAGGCCATTCCCTTTCATCATCATCTTCTCATAGATGTTTATTAAAATTTGAATAGTTTATCTTGCTGTCTGGTATATTGCTTGCTGTATTGTTTTGTAGGTAGACCAGCTCTCCTCCACCATGTTGGTACAGAATGACTGTATAGACACATTTTAAAATCTTTTGCCTCTGGCTGGTTGTTTGTGGACTAAATTCTCTGGTTATAGGATATAGGGATACTAATTGATTGACATCTTATTTACTGAAGTTGTGCTGATTGGGTTAGTCATAGAGATGGCACTGATCCAGTACCTGGTATATTAGCAGAAAATCGCAAATCAGAGGAAAAGGAGAATGAATCTAGTCCATGTTCTGGAACAAATCTAGTTACATCAGACACCTGCGTTGGCTAGCATCATGCTGAGTAGTGAAGGGCAAAGAAGGACCACCCTATGCACTCAGAAAAAGCGAGGCCAGTTATTCTCCAGGACTTGACATTAAGCTATTTCAGGGATTTCAGCCTTCTCAAATTAAATGGTGTTACTCTCTCAGTTTTGCTGGTTATTCAATAAAAGTCATTAAATCAAAGACACTAACCCGTTAGCATTAACATAAGTCCTATTTTTTTACTCTGTATAAAAGTAATGTTGTCGAAAAAGTACACTTTCAGCTTATCCTGTGAGCAAGCCATGTGGTTTGATGGTTAGTTGGGCAGCTAACATAGCTATTCATTTCTGAACTGAACTGGGATTTGCACACAAGATCACGCAAAACAGCCGTTGTTCTTCGTCATAGACTCATACATGTTAGCGTTAGCTTTCATTTTAGGGCTTTATCTGGCACTTGGCCAGGTTGTGGTTTCAGAACCATTTCTGACTGATTAGCTTAGCTGCTGCTGCTGAAGCAAACCTGACATGTCTGATGAAGGTTTTTCGCTGTTTTATTTGCTATTTGTAACCCCTGTTGATTGGGACTGAGAGCAGGAGTGGCCGAGACTGAGACAAGACCGAAACTAGACTTGAGTACCACAGTACTAGTTAGTAGCAGAAGCATCACAGATTTTAAAGGAAAAAACTTCAGTATTAGCCAGTACATAAGGTTTCAGTATCTGTATCAATCAGTAAAAAACTGGATTGTGCCTTATCTAGTTAGGCCTATTCTAACATATTGGTATTGTCCTCTCTCTGATAGACCCAGTGTTAATGCTGTCAGACCGAGGGCAGTGAGGAAGTCCAAGTATCATCTACACAATTCTGTAGTCATCTTCAGCCAGTCTCCTGGCTATTAATGGCCTATATGTGAATCGGAGGTGGAGGAGATAGAAAAGACCAGTTCACTCCACACTCACAGCTCCTGTCTCACACCTGCCACAAAACCACTGCATTCCTCTGCCTGACAGCCAATTAGCTGAATATGGCCCCTACACACGTGTAGGAGTGCGAATGTGTGTGTGTGTGTGTGTGTGTGTGTGTGTGTATGTGTGTGTGTGTGTGTGTGTGCGTGTATGCATGTAACTGTGAAAGACAGCTGTGATTAAAACTGTACAGCACATGGAGCTGCAATTCACTTTAAGAAGAGTGAGAATGGACTTACAGTAAGAATGGCTGTCTGCTCTTTTTGTGTCCTCGCAGAAGCTGTAAACCCATTACAACTGCATTGGCTGCTTGTCTGTGCATTTGGAACTATAATGATAATGTCTGTTTGCTGGTATATTTGGATGTGTACACATTTGTGTGTACTTGCATGGCTGTGTTTGGTGTACGAGTAAATATGGAGGAATGTTTGTGTCTAAGGAACCCAAGGGCTCTTCAGAATAAAGTTCAGAGCTAGAATGAGAAGGAGAATGTTCCCAGGTTTCTACAAGCAACGCTCTGTCTGCTCCTTAGAAACGCTGCATGTAAGAAAGGCATCCAGATAAGGCAGCAGAACAGTTTTTTTAACTAGTCTAGGTCTGTAATGATTAGACAGTTTAGCTCAAATACTAAAATTTGCCTATAAAATTTGACTAAAATTTACTTTAATAGATTGGAATAGTTGTCTTCTTGAGTGACAGTACTGAATGTTTTATGTTCTACTGGCTTCTCTTACATTAGTCTAAAATTTTATGACGCACTTTTATAACCTAAGAATAGCTCAGGCAGTTTACATTGAAGTCCTTTTAGTTACTGAATAATAAGACCTAGGATGTAATATGCCTTGGATTTTAAGAGGCTAAGAAACAGTACCTCATGGAAACACCAGATATACAGTACAGTGCAAAAGTCACAGGTCATCCTTTTATCTCAATTTTAGCAGCCAACTGGTCAGCCAAAATGTATGTGTTTAACAAGAATTAGAGACTTGCTTTGAGTTTTTCAAAGAAATTTGTATATTATTCCATACTTCCAGAGTTCAGTCTTTTTAGTTGGTTGCATTTTGCTGTGAGATCTTTCCACAATTTGCATGTTTAGGCTTTTGCAGTTTTGTACATAACATGGCCAGAATGCGACTAACATGCACCCAAAACTGAAGCAGATGGTTTACTTTTTTTAAGCTTTTATTTTCTGGAAGAAGTCAGGCTTTGAATTTTGTGTAAGATAGTGGATTAAAGAAGTATAGTTACATTTAACCTGGGAGTGACTGTGCTGACCATGGTGGTAAGCATCTTCTAGCCCAGAAGTGGTTGGAATGCCTTAAAGGTTTAAGTGCTGATGAGTGAGGATGTTACAACACAAAATGGGGCACAAAATGTGTGGGCTTCAGCACTGTCACCAGTGCTGTCACAAACATTTATATGTGTGAAATTGGTTTCCTTAAAATAAAACTGGGGCCTGCCTGACAAAGCAGGATTTTGTCATTAATGTCACGCTTTCGTGTACACAAGGAGTAATCATAGCTGGGGTTTCTAAATCTGAGATAGCAGAAAAAAGTTAAAGGAGTTAACTACGGCTGCAGTGTCAGGAACTTGAAGTTGAAGCTTGCCTCTTAGAGACAAGCCCCCTGGTTAATCTTTAATTATTGCAAACTGACAAAAAAGACATGCATATTTGTTTTAAAAATATTTTGAAGATATAGACGTCTCCAAACTGACAAGCTGTGCATGTTTGTGGATGCAAGGCATTGGATGAGCAGAATGGTTGACAGTTTTAATCCTTTGCACTCTATATTTATGAGCACACGTTTACATGCCTAAATACAAAGTAGATCTGGTAAATGGCACAAAATAACACTGTTTAAGAGCCGTCTGCCTGTCTGTCTCTTTCAGGTCTGCGTCTGGCGGAGCAGCTGGGCCGGCGCGAGGATGAGGCCAAAATCCGCCACCGTCTGGGGCTCTCTCTGTGGGCCAGCGGCAACCTGGAGGAGGCCCAGCACCAGGTACACACACACACACACACACACCCACACCCACACACTTGATTGTATACCCACAATCTTGTGATCTACTTCACTCCACTGCTCCTGTGACTCCACTAAAGTTGCCATAACTACACTTAGACTAAACTAGACTTTCCCAGGCTGCTCTAATGATTGGCCTGTAGGCGGGTTGCTTTTGTGTGTGTGTGTGTGCGTGTCTGTTTTGAATCTTTGTGGAATTGTCATCTCCAGAAGGCCCATCATTCTGAGAGGCACACAAAGAGCCTGGAGTTTGATGAGCAGGAATGCAAGCTGTTCCACACCCTTTCGCTCCGTTTTAGTCCCTAATTGATTTAGTGCTGTCAGAACAGACGCACAGCAAACATTGCCCGTGCCTCTCTTCTCCTCTTCTTTGCGTCCTGAAAAACGCCTGCTAGGGCTGATCCTCCTGATGAACATGCACATGCGCACATACAGTACCTTTTAAAAGTCTTAATAATTTGTTATTTTATATTCAACAATAACATACAGTGTAGATTTAAATATTATAAGCTAGGTGCCAGATATATTTACAATATTTAATGTATTTTGGGAACAAGTTTTTGGCTGTTTGGTCTGTTTACAATAATTTTTCAGGTTATTAAAGTTTTGTCAGTGTGAGACATTCTTATCCAGGTGTCTCATTTTAGAACCTTTTAGAACCAAAGGATACTGTATTAGAATCATTTATACATTTGTGTGTGACTACATTGGTTTTATATTCATGAAAACAGTGATTCCAAACTTTTGACCAGCAGAGCATAAACATTCACAACACTTCAGCTTTTTCAGAATTGTTCCTTAACGCTTCATTATGGATGTCACTGGGTTGGGACGAGCTCAGTGGCTTTCGAGATCGCATTCGGGCCTCCGGCATTTTCGGGCCGCTTTGGTTTCAACTTTCTGCGAAGCCAGATGGAGGAGCTGATTTCAGAGTGCTGGCTCTGCAATCGTCTGCTTGTGCCTAGCGCTGTGAGATAGAGCTCCTTAGGGGGAAAGGCTGAAGATTGGACTTCCTGCTTATACATTTTGGCTATGATAACATGCCTTTTTTCACAATTTTCCTGTGTAGTCAGTGGATATCTGTGTGATTACTTATGTACCAAGGGTCTTTGGGGAAAGGCGCTTGATAAGACGATAATGTCTCTATATCATCCTGCAGTCAGCCTGGTCAATTAGACAGTTGTGCTGGAGGGGAGGGACGTCCTGTAGCTGAGGGAGAGAGGGGGAGGTGTCTTCAGTCTGTCCTCCTCAGCCATCTGTGAAAGTAGCCGTCAATCAAAGAGGCACGCCATACGGCAGACCCCATAGAGATATGCATACACTGCTGATAGGTTCATGCACAGTACCGAGCAAAGGTCACACACCACCCTTCATTTATTTATTTTCCAGTTCAAATGACTGTTAAGTATTACATTTTCAGGAGAGATTGGATGTAGACAAATCTACTTTCATAAGGAAGGGGCAAGTCAAAGGAACAGTGTTTTAAAAAACAAGAAACTGGAGTTCAAAGAATTATTGCAGGATATAGGGGAAATAGGATTTTTATCAACCGTGCAAGACCTGGTAGACCACTAACCCCTACCTAAAGCTTTCATATTTGAGAGAGAGGAGAACCTTAAGCTCCACTCTTGCTTCAGATCTGAAAAGATCCATACATGTTTCTGTCCATCCTTCCACTGTGAGAAGACTTTGCAAATCAAACAAAGAAGCTGCTGCTGTTCTTAGAAAAATGGACTTTCCGTCGCAGAGTCCAGACCTCGACATCATTGAATGTGTTTGTGATTACTTTAAAGGTGTGATTTTTTTTGCGCAGATGTTTTTGACACTCTGAAAAGTCTTTAATTTTCTGTTAAATATATTCAGTTTTTTTCCTGCCCCTAAAAAATGCATCATTTGTGCTTAATCGCTGACTGGTTGGCTGCTGAAGTGAAATCAATGAAAGGATGGCCTCTGGTTCTGTACATGGCAAAAAATGCATATAATGTTTCCATGGAATGTAATAGAAGAATGGAAGCTGTAATAAAGGCAAAGGAGGGACACACTAAATACTGAAAAAAATATTTAATTGTTGAGGCTTCTGTGTAATTTTTGGTTACTGTTTCTGTTTTCTGACTCCGAAAAATGAAAACCTTGCACAGTACTGTATACTGTCGCTGTTGTAATAAAACCTTGTATCTCTAAAAGGAGAACTTTACGGGAGAAAGACGCAAACAAAAACTTTAGTTAATGTAATGTAAGATTTTAATACAGGTATCTTTGGACCGTTTCCATTGGTCCATTAATTGTAAGATGTTCACTTAATGCAAAGGGCAGCTGTTGTTGTATAAACAGTTTAAAAAATGAAAAAGAAGAACTCTTTAATGTGTGTGGTCATTCTGAATGGGTGGAAAATGAAAGAAAGTTCTGTAGAGAGTGCATGCGTGTGTGTTCCTGACTAATGCTGTAAGTTTCGCTGTTCCTACCCCTCCTCCTGTATGACTCAGTATAAGTGTGTGCGTGTGTGTGTTTGAGATGGATAGATGATGCTGGAGTGGCCTGCTGCAGATCTCAGGCTGTGTGTGTGTGTTTTTATGTGTGTGCGTTTGTGCGCTGCCAATGCATTCCACTCTTAATTGATTGCAGGCTGGCCTTGGCGGATGCTGACGAAAGGAACACTGCATTCCACTGCCGCAGCCCTGCTAGCCAGCAGCACACACACAAACACACACTCACACACACACACTCAAACATAAATACATAAATACATAAATACAGACTCGCAAGCCAAATACACAATTAATACACAAAGGCACACTATTCAAAACTAAAGCTTCATATGAGTAATACATTTTCTCAAACAAATACATACGGTCTGCTAGACTGACGCAGTCTAGAGCTCCAGCAGGACCTGACAGTGGGCGTTTTTCCACTGCACGATCTGAAACAAGAAATGACGCAAACAGTTACCAACGGTTCTGGTCCTAGTTCATTTACTGCATGCTTGAGAGCCAACTGCAACCGTCAGAACCACTTGCAAGAGTCCAGTTTGGCTACTTAGCTGCCTTAGTTATTGGCTGATATGAGACGATATGTTGCACTGGTATGTGCACACACACTAACAAAGAAATCTAGAGTCTTCCTTTTAATGTTCTCTTTAGAGTGTGAACTGACACATAGGCTATCATGCTAGCTAGCTTATCATTAATAGTTTGCAAGTTTGCCAGATCGCTTGAAAAACTCCCTGAAAATTCAAAGTTCAGCTTTTTAACCTATACTTACTAATACACCATTAAACCACCATGCCATCAGTTATAATTTGCTAGGGGACATTAGCCACTAATGCCTTTCCTTTGCAAATTTGTAGATAAATGTTTGCCATTCCATGAACCAAGAGGTTTTTTATGTAATTTCTAGAGTTCAATCACAAAGGCAATACATCTAGAGAATGTTGCAAGCAAAGGAAGAAGCATAACTATTTCTCAGACATTTTTAAACTTGCTTGCAGTAAACAAGTTACTGGCCATTCCAGTTTCCAACTTTTGCAGAACTACATACAGTCAGTAGTGCCACTGGATGATTTATGCCATGTCTTGCCTTTAAGACTGTGAACAATTGCCTCCTCTCAACAGGACTTATTAAAATGTATGTCAAAGTTTTGCTGCCTGATTGAATGTAGGGAGAGGTTAGTGAAGATATGAACTCTTGTTCTGTGGCTTCTAACATCAATGCTGTTAGCATTAGTGTTAGCTTCCCAACTAAATTCTCACCATAGTGATGTTTTTTAAAAGTAATAACTCTAAAAAATGACACAAAAATGAATTGTTTTGTTTACATTCTTGTGCACTAAGTGATCATAATAGCACTTATAACAGTGACTTTATCTTCACCTGAAACAGTAAAGAATTCGCCAAATTGTTGTTGGCTCAGCTTCAAAAACAGAATAAAACACATTCAAGTATCCTGTTGACTTAATATTGAGTGACTACCAAAGAACATAAAACTGGAGCCTTTGGTGCTGGACCGATGACCGATGGAAAAAGCACAGTTCCAGTTTGCTGGAACCAAAGGTTCTGATACTCTGTGCAGTGGAAAAATGCCCAGTGAGAAGGGGTGTGGGTGTGTGTATGCATATGTGTGTGAGAGACACTGGCAGACAGACAACTGTGGCTCCATCTCTCTGTCTGTCCAAGCGAAGGGAGGGAATCGTTAGTGAGGAAAAGCACGCCATTTATGCCATACAAACCTTCTTTATTCACAGGGCTAAATGAGAAACAGACTGGTTCGAAAAAGCTGTGAGTCTCCAGCTCCATTTGATCTGAGACTCCCCCCTTACTGTTATACAAACATGCCTCTCTCACCTTACTGCCTTTTTAAAGCCCTCATTAACCAGTTCACATTACTGCCTGAATTAACATTCAGCTCCTGTTTTATGCCTCAGGAACTCTTGTGAGACAGAGGCGTATTACGTCTCGTGTCTTCTCTCTGATGAAAGAAGACCAAGAGACAGGGGGGAAGGATATTCCCTTGCTGCAGAGAGCCTGTTTTAACAGGGGAATTGTTTCTAGGCATAGAGGCCTGCTGCCACCTGCTGTTGGTTGCAGATAACTGCAGGAAAACCCTGAGCCATAAAATGCTATTTCTGCCTGCCTCTCTGCCTTTGCGGTCCCTCGGTTAAACTCTGCCATAGTTTTTTTCTTCAGTAATGCTGATAATATATATAAATATGATGTAAAATGATTTACAAAACTGGAAGCTGGATTTTTGTCCTTGTAGGTGAACACATTTAAAAAAAGTGTTTTATTGTGTCTAAATGCTGTTGATTTGTTGTGGTAGTTGTACATGATGTTTTAATATGAAGAAAGCTACAGTTGTGTCTGTTTTATTTCAACACAACCGTCTTTATGGAGAGGTGAGGATTGTATTTACAGCAGGGGGTTCTCACTCCTCCTCTTTCTCCCTTATTACTCACTAGAAGCTCAACACAAAGTCACAACATTTCACACAAAGTGGCAAGGCAAGTTTTTTTATATAGCACCTTTCATACACTGTGGTCATTCAAAGTGCTTTACGAATGAAAAAATGCAAAGATAATTCAAATGACAATTTAAAAAGTAACATAAAGTAAAGGAGAATGGAAGTTAAAACATGATTAAAACAACACATTTTAAAAGAAGAAAATAATCATTAAATAAAAAATTGATAAAAATATCAACGTTCTACTGACCTGCGGAAAGAGGTTAAAGCATCTCTTAAATTTTGCAATCTGTGTGATACTAACCATTGATTCATGCATGATCTTGTACAGCTGTGAATATGTTTTTCATTTTCCCTTTTAATTTTCCCTTTCAGTTGTACCGTGCCTCTGCTCTGTTTGAGACCATTCGCCATGAGGCTCAGCACAGCACCGACTACAAGCTCTCCCTGTTTGACCTTCAGACTTCCTCATACCAAGCTCTCCAGAGAGTCCTTGTCAGCCTTGGTAAGTGCCATCTCACTCCTTCTCTCTGTGCAGTAGGCTACAGTAGTGCACTGTTGTTAGGCCCAAAATGACAGATTTAATGCTTATCTGCTTCCATAGTCTGATAATTGGTTGGTTTTCAACACTACACTAATATACTAATGAATTGTGACTTCAGCAAAAAATCTAATTTACACATTTTCCCTTTTCCCCAAATGTTGTCCGTCAGCCAAGACAAGTTTAATGTCCAAAGTTTGCTTCTTCAGTTTTGTACTACAAGAGCTACAAGACTAATGTGAAATACGTGATTTAAGCATATAACCCACCGATAACAACTGTACTAACTGCATGCTTAAAATAGTACATGCTTGTCTTAAACCACATTTGAATCTGTTTAAATAATCCCAAATAGACTTGCTCATGTGGAGTTTGACACTGTATTGACAAACTGTTCTATGTACCTCACAAAGCTAAAAACAGATGCAGTAGTCATCTTGAATTTTGGCTTTGCTTTTGTTCGTTTTTATAAATAACCATAGTTCACACAATATGTGGTGCTAATCAGCCTCATAGCTCCAGGAGTAGAGAATTAAACTTTAGATGCCAAACATGTCTTGGCTGAACAACTACATTTGGCGTAGTTGTGTGGATTTAGTGTTTAATTAAATTGTTGTTTTAAGCTTAGATATGCATTAAATGCATTAGCACTATATAGAAAATAGCGCATGGGATGCATATTCTCTGGCAGAATTCTGATTTAAGAAAACTTCTAACCTTTTTCATCTTAATTTATGCAGCCAGTGGCCTGTAAAAGCCTGATCTTATTTTGAGACAGTTGGTCAGTACTTGTCGCTGTGTTGATCCAAATCTTCTGCCGATCCCAGGTCACCATGATGAGACGCTGGCGGTGGCAGAGCGGGGCCGCACACGGGCCTTCGCCGACCTGCTGGTAGAGCGGCAAACGGGCCAACAAGATTCCGACCCCTACACACCTGTCACGGTGGAGCACATCCTGGACACTGTCAACAGCCAGCGGGCCCTGGTGCTCTACTTCTCACTGGCGGCTGGCTATCTGTACAGCTGGCTACTGGCCCCTGGCTCAGGTAGGACAGCACACAAGAACTTTGACCACACTGACATGCTCATATCATATTCATATGTCCAGTGGATCTTTTAATTAATGTATTATTTGGGGGTTTTTGTTTGAGACAGTGCTCTGTTACTGAATGATACTGTTTGAAAGGGATTCACATTGTCCAAAACAATTGGCCTTCCATCCATCCAGCCATCTGTGAGGTACTGGTTGAATGGACTGATGGGTTGATGGGTGGATGGATGGATGGATGGATAGATAAAGGGATCTCTGTGGGGAGGCAGAGGTGTGAGACAAACCCTGCACCCACATGGACAAGTAGGCAGGGCCCAATCTGTAGCCATGCTGAGCCCCTGTCTGGCTATGAGAACTCATCCCAAAACCACACACACACACACACACACACACACACACTCTCAGACTATATAGGGCTCAACCGATATGCACGTTTTAACACAATGCTAATTTTAAGCAGCTAAACATTCCAAACAAATGATAATATCAGCTAGTCAAAAGCTATAGTAGTTTTAATTAAATAGTGCTTGATGGCAAATATGTTTGTCAGTCAACTGCGATTGGTTAGTTCTCAATCAGCTGAGCTCTAAAAGTAGCAGAGATTCTCAGAGTCTTAAATAATGTTAATATTTTACGAGTGGATGTTGCATGACTTCTCTGAAGTCATGAATCTTTCTGTTGTCTGCGTCTTGCCCATATTAGGAACTCCACATCTAAGCTGGTTTTCTCAATGAGAAAAAGAAATTGCGTTTTTGAAAGTCGCTGCAATCGCCTCCTGTGGGAATCAAAAAGCCAATACAGTTTTGTCCTATGTACACTTTTTCCCTAAGTGTCACTTGATTCTCTGAATTTGAATGGTTGTTTAAGAGGCAAATTATGAAGATACATACATGCTACAAGCAAGTTAACACAGGAGGCACACTGGAAATGATGTTGCATGGAAGAAAGTCTACAGTTAAACTGAAGCACTGTTATATACCAACAACAGCTACTCAAACTGCAACCTAAAACTGCCAAAGTAACTTAAATACCACATTTGACAAAACTATGTCGTTTGTGTTGGGGTATTTTGGTGAGGGTGCCAAGCTTTTGATGTCAATTTAAGTGCATAGCAGTGTTAGCTTGCACATAGCAATTAGCAACGTCATTATTCAGAAAATCCAACAACATTTAGAGGAAAAATGTCCCTACAGCAAAACATATCAGCTTTGGACCATTTTAGATTACCACAGGATGCGACTGAAGCAATTTTTCAAAACACCAGTTATTTCTGTCATAGAGAAAACCTGCTTAGACCCAGAGTACCTAATATAGACATGACTCCAACTACAGACTGACAACATGACTTTAAAGGTCTATGAACTCTTACTTTTCTTATGTTGAATTACTGCTCTTCACAGGTTTTTCTGTTAACGTCATGCTAAAGGTTCAGGTCTGAATATAAAGGTGATTATTTCTTGTTATTTTAGCTATGATTGTGCTTTGTGTTCAAGTTTCCAGTTTAACCTGTATTGGGGTGGGATGTATACTGGTATAAAAGTGAACACAGTTATGAAGTCTCTCTATATGCGACTAGCAAAAATCTTCCACCTTGCTGACTATGTTGGCACAGATTATTACTCTGCAATGGCTTCTTTAAGTGCTCTTGTGTTGCACTTTATTGAATTAAACAAATATAACTTTACTTGCATACCGTCTTAAACTTGCCTTTATAGGTACTTGCATATGTCACCCGTATGTTTCATATCAGAATGCTCCGTTATCTTCGTTACGACTTTCCAAAACTGCTGCAGCAACTTCATCCGCTGTAAACTCTTTTCTTGCTATTTTATGCATTTCTGATGTGGAATGAGTGAAGAATGGTTTCTGATGTGATGGGTCAGTGATTGGTTTGGCTTTTAAAAGAAGAGGTCTACAACAAAGTGTCAAAATCTGAGAAATAGTGATTGAAAATACCGTTTGTTCTCTTTGAATTCCACAAATCTGCCAGGTTTTTTTCAGTCTTAACTGAGATGGTCTGAATTACTAAGTCAGTTGTAGCTTAAAGCAGTTGAGAGGACTTTATGCACATTTCACCAACCAAAGTTACACCTAGGTGTAAGACCAGTCTTTTGAGGTGCGTGTTCACGTGAAAATGTATGTAAAAACGACAGGTTACTGAGCAACACTGCTCTGCACTTATAACAGTCAAAATGGGAGGGTTCAGGAGGACAGCACACAGTAGGATAGCATTTTTGAACTTTTTTTCATGACCCCTTCATCTCATAGTACCCCTGAAACCCACTAGCTCTTCAAATTTCTCTGCGTGGGGGACATGGACTTTAGCTCTGGAAGAATGTCTTTGCAGTCTGCATCTTTTGTAAACACTATGTTTTACTCTGTTGTCAGCTGTTGTCAGCCCAGTGTCCTGAGTTTGGTTTCGGCCAAGAATTTTTATTTCAGTACCATCAGTACTGTTCACTGCTTAGTCTCTGTAACCTTAATACTAAGGATATATCGATCGGACCCTGACTCACACACAAGCTAACAAGCCAGTAAGGACTAAGGATTGACTACAGTGTGTGTTCTTTATGCTCTCTGCATGTCACACATGCACACACACACACAGTTTATCAATTTGTTTCAAGCAGCCATATCCCTCACACCTTCTGTTCCCTGCAGCTCGCTGTCTGCTGCCTGCTGCTTGGGGGAGCTGGTAAAAAGCTGTGAATTAACGCAAAGCGGCAGTGCCACCTGCCTCTCTGTTTGTCTCTCTGCGTTTCACACTCGCACACACACATACATATGTGGCATTCAGTACTGAGACCGATACAGGCATCTCTCTGTCAGACACATGTCCAGTTAGACAAACACTTATTTCAGAGACGCAGCTGTATCGGACTATTTATTTACACTGACCTCATTTTGCTTCCCTTCCTGCAGCTTCTTAAAGGATGTGCAGCGTCCTTGTAGTATGAGCTATTGACCGAGCTCAACGCAGGAGGATAGCACTATATGTGGTTATCAATGTCATATGTAACCATTCTGTGCTTGCCAGATCTGCTCAATGTTCAGTTCTTTAACTGAGGAAGGAAAATAAATTGTTAATCGATTGCTGCTCTGAAGCCTCAATCCATCCTCTTCAGGCCTTTCATATGGTATATGAACTTTAAGATAAAGAGAGTTCTATCCACTGTGCAAGAACATGTGTACTATGTTTTAGTATTTATAACATTATATTACAAAATAAAAATTGCCTTTTGTAGCGGCACATAGTTAGGAGAGAGCTTTGTGGTGTATGGTCATATGCAAAGGTTTACAGAACACCTGGTCAAATAACAAGTTTTGTTGATTCATATAAAAGTTAACACATCCTCTACAGGGATCAAACTTAAATGTGACATTTTTTTTGCTTTCGTGCTTATATTCCCTTTGTAAAGCAGTGACACTGTACAACTTGGTAGATCTCATTGCACCTAATTCTTTACTCAGTCCTTCCAAAGTATGTCAGAAGACAGAAGTTTACCTTACTTGTTTAACCAAAACAATTTTATAGGCTGACCAAAAGCTGCAAAATGGATGCAGTTTGCAATTTTATAGCTTATTTATATTTACAGACAGCTTTTCAAAGAAGGATATGACCATGACACCTTGGCTCTGATTGGTCAGCCTAGTTATGAATGCATTCACAAAACACAAATCTCTGTTTAAAACTACACAGCATCACAGTCACTTCATATGAAAGACGTGTTAAAATTCATGTATACATTCTTAAACCCTGACCTGTGTTTTTTCCTGCTGTAAAAAATGGACTGTGTCTGAAAAGGCCTTTAACTCACCACAGATTTCACACTCATGTAAACGCACTGGTACACATTCCTCATCATTTGGCACAAACCTGTGGAAAATGAACACAGCTCTGTACTGCTCCCTGGGTCCAAGCAGGAAAGCGGCTCTCAGAGGCGTCTCGTGATTTCTCACGATGGGTTCATTGTGTAAAAGACTAATAGATGGGTTTTTAACAATATTTTTGTCCTTGTCAATCAGGATTTTACATCAAAACACTCTGAATGACTGAACAGCAAAACGATAATTGTCTGTCATGTAATGAGCTGATTTGCATATTTTGCATTATATAGCAATCAGCTTTCAGTTTGGCTAAACGGTAACGTAGTTGGCTGCTAAGTGTACTCGCATGTAGTTAAAATCTTATCAGGTCGAAATCCATATCATCATTTTCCAATAGAAAACAAGTATCTCCAAAATAGTAACTTAACAGAAGAAGACAAAACCGTTCTTTACTCTTAATGAGTCAGTGTAAGGGGACTTTATTCTAAGCAGTTTTTGGAGCATTTCTGTTGGTCCAGTCATCATAAAATTTTCATGCAGTGTAACGGACAGCAGCCGTGCGCAAGTTACGTAGAAAAAGAAAAATTAAAAAAAGGAGAGGTACATGTTTTTCTATGGACAGCAACGATATACAACGATATAAGTCACATTGCCTTATGTCACTTTAGTGTTAATTTCAGGACCTTCTATATTTATATATTTTTTATTATTCTATTTTTCGACAATTAGTGTTTATTTTTACGATTAGTGTTTAGTGTTTTTTTTTTTATTTTTTTAATGTCTATTTAAATTCACACTTTTCCGGTTTACTTTCTATTTAATGTTATTGCTACACCATGGGGTCTGAGAGTAACGCAATTTCAATACTCTGTATGTCCTGTACATATTGTAGTATTGACAATAATGCTGACTTGACTTGACTTGACCTTTACCAGCCAGATGTAAATGGTCGGAGAGCCTTGTAGTTTCTGATAGTCTGACATACTTTTATCTCTAAAAATGGACAAAAAATGAGAATGTCTCAACCGATCTACTACACTTGGAGTGAGTAGGAAATTGTGTAAAAGTAGTTTTTGTCTGTGTTTTCACTTTCACTTAATCACCCTGCCCTGCTTTGCCATTCAGGTATCCTGAAGTTCCATGAAGTGTATCTGGGTGAAGGAGCATCCGAGAGTGGGGCATCTGACTTCCAGGAGGCTGGAGGTGGCTCTCTGCAGGCAGGCGGTGGGGGCGGTGGTGTATCTTCACTGGAGCAGCACATCGCTAATGCCCGCGAAGCCCTGGGAGTTGACTCCTACTACAGCAGGTGACCACACAACTCTGGTCAGCTTCCATTCTACACAACAGAGTGGCTCGGAGCCATGCTTGGCACTAGAGGACAATTGCCCAGAAGCAGATTAAGAAAAGAGGTTCCACCGATTTTGTAGTTTAGTCTAGGATATAATGTGGGTCAAAAATGAGTCAAAAACTGCATAGACATCCATAGCAACTTCTGATATGTGGAATACGGAATACTGCATTGGATTTTTAAGCGTATGACTGGGTCATGCAGGGCGTGTTTTCCACAGTAATAACAGTAAAAGTAAGAGCTCAGTTTAACTGAGTAGCACAGAAGATCAAGAGAGCAGCATGGTTGTGCTTCAAGCATGTTTTTACTGAAGAGCTCTATTAGATATCAGCGGGCTGACCCCTGTCACTACGGCATAAAGCAAACAGCATTTCAGATCCGTCTAATCTCATCTCTTCTGGACCTGATAAAGTCCATTTAATGCTGCTTGTAGATCTGAGACAGCTTATTTGGAGCAAAGCCTTGGTCTGCTCATCATTTATTTAAGCGAAAATCAAGAATCAAATTTCCCAAATCAAATTTACACAATTTTCATCCTATCCCAAGTGATCTGATGTTTGTTATCTGGGTTTTGCCTCTTTATTTTTGACTGGTTCTGTAAAAATGCTCAAAAGAACATCTCATCGATAAAAACAACAGTAGCAACCACCAGGAAGCCTGAATTACGTTTTTGTAGACAGTTTGCCACACAGTTTCACAAACCACATAAGCAATTTTGCTTCAGATTAAAGAAGTAAGTGTGCAGCGACTGGGGGGAGATGTTTTGCATGTTGTTTGTGCAGAGTGATCTGGGCACTTTGAGATGTGTGGTTAAGTAGTATATGTGTATTTTCTGTACTGACCAATGAGATGAAAAGGATGGCAGGCCTGCACTGACTGTAGTCTCTGAGTATGATTTTGTGGAATTTAGCATGACATAAAGGCTGAGTGATCGAACTTTCTGCCTGTTCATATTAAAGTGATAACACAGCCAGCACAGCTAATTGACAGTTACAGTGCTTTTCACTTTCTGAGAAACCTTGCCTTAGCTATGCACCCAAATGTCAGAAAAAGAGTTTTACACTAGGACTAGGTGGAAAAGTTTGAATGTTGCTAAAGCCAAAATATGTAATGGCGTGATGGAAAAGTGTTTTTCGAGTAAACGTATCAAACCACAACTCACATGATTCTGTGATTCCTACAGATGGTCTAATAGTGGCACTTAGCTTTTTGAAGATTGCTTTTGACGCTCTGAACGGCATAATCCAAAGCTCGTTCGAAAAATTCCTCTGCACAATGTGCTCCCAGAATTGTCTGGTGCATTTGCATTCCCAGATGCAGGGTAGACGTCATCAGGGTGGCACAGAGATTTCAGCCCTCATTAGGTGGGCCTTTGCTCGTCCTGACCGGGAAGGCATGAAAATTTCAGTCCTCATTAGGTGGGCCTTTGCTCATCCTGACCGGCGTCTCTGAGCTGCAAACAACATGGCTATAAAAACATGGCAAATGGCTTTAAAGATAATTCTACTTGAAGCAAAAAAACGAGTTAAATCTCTCCATCTTGCTTGTTTTGATTTAGCCCTTAATCATGGTAGTCTACGTCGACTGAAGTTTCTTTGTGTAACTGTAGTGAATGGAAACTCAACATAATTCGCAATTTTTCTGCCAATATTTCTTAAATGCGCATATCATTTGCAAAATGTTTGAATGAAAACCCGCCCATAATGTAAACTGTGGCTTCAGTGCAAAACTGAAGTGGTAGTTTTGGACACAAAACACTTCTTGGATGATTTTTTGCCAAACTCTTCCTTTAAGTCTCCCCTTACTGGCCTATCTGTACCACTATGGCCCTGTACACAACTGGTATTAATATTCAACTCAAGTGATCTTATCATAAAGCTGGCAGTAAACTTCAACACCGTACTTGCAGTCATACCTAAAAAGAGCTCAGTGTACATGTTCCTGACACTCAGCGTCACTACAGACCTGCTCACTGCAGGCAATCATGTGACATACGAACCAGTCGCAGTCAGGGGGTGGTCTCAAACAGCAAGGTGTGACTGGAAGATGGGCGCCACCCACATTTACTATGTGAGTCTCTCACTGCGTTTGTTTTCATTGAGCCCCATGAGCTGTTGTCTGTGTTTGTGTATGGGCGTTTACATATATAGGTTGTGAGGAAAACTTAGAAACGGGAAAGGAGGCGAAGAAGCCACACAAAACTGCTTGATTACATATTCCACATATTTTCCAAAATGCCTGCATAATTAAATTTTCACATCAAACCACTCTGAATGACTGTTTACACATCAATAATTGAATTATGTGGAAAGTGTGAAAAAATGGTGAAGTTCCCCTTAAATGCCATGTGTGAACAAAACACACGGCATAAGGCAAATGGCATTTTGGGTTCATCTCCTTCTTATCTTGTCCCTGCTGCTCATAGACCTGAGACAGATTATTTAGAGCAAAGCCCCAGTCAGTTCAGCAAATATTTAAATATGGAGAGAGGGAAGAGGTAGCAGAGATGGTGGACACGTACAGCTGTTCCAGCTGTGTACTTATCTCTGAGCAGCTAAATAAGTCCTGATGGATGCAGTTATATCAGTTGGTTGTTGCACGCACAGCTGGATTGATCACTGTTTGTTCTTCAGTGTGTGTGTGTGTGTGTGTGTGTGTGTGTGTGTGTGTTGGAAGTTGGATGGCTCTACAGGCAACAAATCACCATCCACACTGAGAAACAAGCCGTGACAGCTGGACAGGAGGGGCATACTGACCAGCCCACCTGTTGTGTCCGTGCTGGCTGTTCATGGCCTTGAGTACACAGGTTCATTTCAAGTGTCATTTTGAACACTAACGAAAACTAACAAAAAATGTTTTAGGTGTTTAATCCTGAATACATCTTTGCACTAAAAAAACAATCGGAGACAGTTTAATTTCTGTTTTCATTTTTGGGTTGTAACTAAGAACTATTTTCATAATCGATTACTTGGTCCACTAGGACTTGGATTAATCGATTATCTAGGAAACAAAAGGCTGCAGCTATTAGTCTGACAAGAATGCCTCAACAAATTCAACAAATTAAAAACACAATAATTATTCTTCCTTTAAAAAACAAATTATACAGCGAAAATTCTTTATCTTATTCATATTTTCCAAAAACAGCTTCTATCAATGGCACAGCAGCAGATTTCCTGCATTGCTCCTGAAAATTCTTATTTTTGAAAGGTGCAGAAACAACAAAGGAACAACACATCCAAGTCTTAGGCTGCTTTTATGTATTTCTTCTTTAATGCTAATGCAAAAATGAATAATCAATAATGATAAATCAATAAACGGTAACATCATGTAATGAAATATTACAGATCACACTATGTCAGTTATGAAGACCTTAAGCTTGCTCATCACACAAAATTTATCTTGTCACTTCAGCCAGTGTTACTTATTCTGTCTGCTAAACTAAAACAGAGTGAGCTGAAAAGCAGACAGTGAAAGCTGTATTTTACTTTTGGCTGTGGTTTTAATAAGATATCACTATCTCACCACATCAAGTTTCTGCAGTGGATGCAGTGTGAGTCTCTTTCATCCTTGACCCTGATGGTTGTGCTGCCCACTGAGCCCAGCTTTACTCATTACACAGGAAACCGTCTTCTTAGATGACAAAGTGTTTTCATAGTTTTTTATTTATTTGGGGGTCAGCAGTGTCTGCTCTTTGTACTTTACCTCTTTCAGTTACGTGATGTAAATGATATGGGCAGAAGTCATCAAGCTAACTATTCAATAACTTGATTTATTGCCAATGGTTTTTAATTATTAACGTTAACAAAAATGGTGATTATTAGTAGCAGACCTATTTTATTTATTTACTAAATAATTTGTGATCTTTAATTAACTATTATTTGTATATGATTAAGATTTTTTTTTAAAAAAAATCATAAATAAATGTAATTGTACATCATATACACAATAAAAATAAAAATTAACACTAGATCTGCACCGACACGTTCTAGAGCAGAACATGTCGGTGCAGATCTGAACTGTAGCTTATAGTGTACAGTGCTCAAAATTAGTCTTGTTACATTCTTTGAATACAATTTATGTCTTGTTTATTTTTTAGTTCCCAAGCTAAAGTTATTTTATTTGCATGCATCAAGAAAACTTTAACAGTCAGCAATAGTCGACTAGGTTTACTAACGGTAAAAATGATCCTGGTAGTTAACTGAAAACTTAAGTAAGGCAAGTAAAAGTACTCAGACATTAGCGGGGCCAACATGAGTGATCAGTGTCTCTTTCGTTTATGTAGGTCAGTATTTAGTATTTAAGTTATTATCTTGTCGCATATCTCTTCTTTTGGATGACAGCTTGAAGTCTTCTATGTGTGAAGTACATAAATTGGCCTTACTGATGGTCACAGACCATTTTTAACAGACTTTTAGACAGATTATTTCTGTCAGCTCTGTATAAAGTTTTCTAAAGCAATATCAGAATGTTAATGAAATATTGAGTCAGGCAAGTGGATAGCGGCTTTGCAGGAGTAGCTCTCGTTTGGAGATCTCTGATTTGAACATGTGCAGTTGGATTAGTGTCCCAACATTGTTTTTTTAAGCAAAATAAGGGATTATATGAAAGTTTTTTAGTTTGCTATTGTCCAGTTGGACCAAAAATATTGATATATAAGTTATAGCAAAACTAAAATGATGTACTTTTGAATGTGATGAAGCAAAATCTCCATAATACATTAAAAAATAAAATAATTAAAAAAACTATAATAGTCCCAAGACTATGTTTGAGCGCTGTAGACTAAAGCATGACCAGTATATTGGTTGGCCTGTAAAATCAGCATCTTTGGGATTCAAACTTGCAATCTCCCGGTTGGGCAAAGTTCAGGCCAGAGGTTCTCAACTTTTTGTAACTCGTGGCCCACATAACCGACCTCAGACGCTTCCCGAGGTTAGTAATTAGAATTAGCAAAAATCTAA